CAATTTGTTGGTGAAAATGGTCTAATGCATATTTTAAAACGCCTATTTGGCTAATATATAGGCTCTTTCATAATAACTATTTTTTAATAAAAACTAAATATATTTTGGTAAATTTATTTGTATGCAGTATTAATATTTTATACAAATAATTTTTATTTTCATAATTAAATGTAGTGAAAATTTTAGAATAATTATTGAAAACTACATTGCGTGGTTTTAACCTAGTTAACTCATATTGTTAGTCGTAGAACTACATTTATTATACTACCGTGATTTTAATTAGGACAATTTGTTAGAAAATTTCCTATTAAATGGTCCACATTGTGACAAAGGTCCGTTTATAAAAACGTGGCAATAAAGGTCGTTTTATCCCACTTAGTTTGTGAAGAAGGGTCTTTAACCTTATTCTGGCCACCGGCTTTGTTTTACGGCAAATAATCCGTACGCAGTCTTACAAAGTTAGGTTTAATAGTGGCAGCATAATATAATCCTTACGCTGTCTTACAAAGTTTCTCATTCTTTCCTTCACTAGCTTAGTAAATTCGCTGTTACCTTTATCCATTTTGTACATCTCATACTCTTTCCCAATAACCAACTTTTCATATACTATATATAGAAAGCGTTCAATTACATTTTCAATAAGCCCTTTGAAACAATTTGTTTCAACTTTCTAAATTCATAAACCAAAATTCAAAATGGAAAAACAAAGTGATGAAATCAGCCAATCTTTTCCTACAACACTATATGAAGCCGCACTTAAGGGAGATAAAACTTCCTTGGGTGAATTACTAAAAACCGATGAATTTATTCTAGATCGTTGCATTATCGAAAAATCGTGTGTCGTTATGCAATCTCCGTTACATGTAGCTATTAAAAAGGGGCACTTAGATTTCGTTAAAGAAATTCTAAGCCTAAGTCCGGAACTAGCCGAGGTTGTTGATCAATTAAAAAGATCAACACCACTACACATTGCGGCCGCTCAAACGAAACAGCCGTTAGGAATTGTCCGCTGCTTGCTCAGCGCGGCACCAAATATGTGTTTCGTGCATGATCAAGATGGAATGACGCCCCTTCATGTCGCGGCTGTAAATGGTAACATCAACGTGCTTAAGGTGTTTCTCCGGAAGAAGCGGCAGGCTGCTTTGGAACGAACAACGAGAGGTGAAACTATTTTACATTTGTGTGTGAAAAATTGTCAATTAGAGACTCTAAAAGAATTGGTTAAAATTACGTATGATCTTGAGTTACTTAACTCCGAGGATAGTGATGGTAATACTGTCTTGCACCTTGCCGTGGCTTACAAAGAAGTCGAGGTAACATCAAATCTAACACTTCAATAATTCTCTTCAAGTATCTACATATTTTGGTTTAATTTGTTAAGTTATACTACCATGAATTTACTTTGCTAAGTTATACTAACAACAATTTACTTCGCTAAGTTATACAAGCATAATTTTTTTTTGTTAAGTTATATTGTCATGAATATCATCGGGTTACTTAATTCTTCTGATAATTTTATGGCAGTTATCCTTAAAATGACTACTATTATAATAATTTTTATTGGTTGATTATTTATTTATTTATTATGTACAAAATTTATAAATATTTATTCTTATTTTTAAAATGTTTTTTTCTTTTTTATAATTAATTTTTGAATTACTTTTTTAATTTTAGTAATAATAAAAACTGAATTTTGTAAATTAATTAGAAAAATTAATAAAAAAAAATTTATAAATATTTCAAAATTAATATATTAATACGTGTGTTTTTATTAAGTCCTCCAATCATCAACATCCTTATTTAGTTTTATATTATACTATCTAAAAATTAAGCTAACCCTTGCACATTTGCATGCCTTCTCTTAAATAATTCGTATTTGGTGGCAATGCAGATGGTAAAATTTCTACTAGGAAAAGGTGACAAGATACATAAAAATGCTATAAACAAAAAAGGGCAAACAATTAAGGATATTTTAGAGAAAACTAAAATTTGTAGCAAGGAATCTATGGTTGAAAACGTTAACATGGATAATAAAAAAGAAGTTGATGAGGATGATTTAAAAGATGAAGAGGAAAAATTAAGAGAAGCTGATCAAATGCTCGAGATTTTATTTAAAGAAAAACATGTATCACGAGCTAAAAAAGTGTTGAAACGTAGCAAAGACGAAAAATGGTTGGAGGAGCAAAACACAGCGCTAATGGTGGTTGCATCTTGTATTGCAACCTTATCGTTTCAAGTTGGAATGAATCCTCCTGGAGGCGTATGGCAAGATAATGATGGTCACGAGGCAGGAACTTCCATAATGGCGTATGATAAACATGGAGATTTCTATAGCATTATACAAGTTAGTAACACGATTGGACTCATGTCTTCTCTAAGTGTCATTCTTCTCCTTATTAGCGGCCTTCCTTGCAAGAAATATTTCGTGTTTGTTTTAAGGGTTACATTGTGGATTGCTGTAACCGCGAGTGCAACAACTTACTTCTACACCATAGGGTATCTAACAAATGAGATTCTTGAAAAGGCGGTGTTAGTAGAAGATGCTTTGGAGTATTCTGTTGAGATTTGGCTATGGTTGATGTTGATTATACTCGTGGGACATGGTTTGCGCTTCATATGGAAGCTATTAGGTCATAACAGGAGGTCGCATATTAAACTTGTTTTGGGAAAAGATACATATTTTCCTAATGTTTAGATTATTGGGAAAAGATACAATAATGTGTTTAAAGGATATGTTTTTTTTATTTTATTTTTTTTAGTTTTTATTTATTTATTTTTCGAATACCCAAAGTGAGGGCATAGTTTTTTTCTATGCTCTTACACGGCAAAAGTTTGTCAAATTCAGTTTCTTATGATTATATTTTCTTCATCTAATCATCTAGTCATGTTTATGTTTTTTCCATGGGAAATAAAATGTTGTTCAAAATTCTATCACTCTTGCTAATCTATCTACTAATGTTGGCCTTTCCTATGCCCTATGCATGGGTGCTTCCTTGACAAGCTACCTTTTCACCACCGGGATCTAATTAAGTTAGAATAAGACAGTAGAAGGACTCCTAAGAATAACTCATGTTGACCTGAAACGTATAATATAAATAGTCTAATTTGTAGAACAACAAAATATTAAGGGGTTAGATAATTTGTACTTTCTCTCACTAAAGTACGTACGTAGTACACTCTCTCAATAAATTTTAACCACTTACTTGATTATCAGATCGGAGTGAGTTCCTCGAACAATATCCCAAGGCAGTTATGTTTGTTTCCTAACACACCCGAGCGGCCGAGCGCAATTCGGCCATGCATGTGATCAGTAGTCCCTCACTGAAGAGTTCACCGGAAACAATATATCTAATTACAATAATTACATTTTCGAAAACAAAGAACATACATGTGAAAAATAGAAATGGGTAGGGTCAGGGACGGAGCTACATTGGTGCACACTGATGCACATGCATCAGTAGGCCAAAAAAAAAATCTATCAAAGCTATCTGTTATTATAAATAAAAGGTCTCTTAAATGGTAGCAGTAATAATGCAGTATTCACTCAATCACTCCCGCTTTATGCTCGATGCTTTATTTTAGAAATTAAAAGAGACCCCTTGTTTAAACAACCAGTCTCTAAGGTCATTTTTTTTCTATTTTTTTTAATTAATAATGGGTCAAAGAGGCCGGTTATATTAAACAAATAGTCTCTAAGGTCTTTGTCCCTTTTTTTTTTTTTTTTTTTTTTTTGCTACTATTCAAAGTAATTCAAAGAAACAATTTTATTTTATTTTTTTTTGAAAAAAAAAGCCAACATGAGTGAAGTAGGGTTCAAAGTCAAACCCTATACTAGCTACGGACGTACATCATGTAACATACGGAGTAGTTACTCTGTTTTCTTATAATATTATGTAGGGCAAGGTTATGAATCCAATTCATTGAGTGAGATTAAATTTTACAAGTTTACTTTTGCTCACTTTACTAATCGAATTTTCTGTACTTAATCTTAGCTTGTCTTCATTACATTTTCTTTTTGTGTATTCTCATGTTGTCGTCCTTCAATTCCAGCCTTTTACTCATACATCACATGAGATGCTTGGCAAGTGATCAAGCAAGCATACATCAGCATTCAATGGGCTCTACTTCAAAAATAAAATAAAAAAATAAAAATAAATAAAAATAAAAATTATGATTGATTATAAGAGGTAATTTAATTTGTCCATTTTATTCTAAGTGTGTCAGTTTGATGATTGGCATTAAGTTTTAGGAAGTTGAATTGAAAAGAGTAAAACATGGTGTAGATGGAATTTGTTAGTAATTTAAATATTATTAAAAATAAGATCATGGAATGAATTATAATTTATCAGCATGCCCAGTTTTAATTTATTTATTTACTTATTTTTACGCATCACTTTCATTTAGACGGAATTTTAAGAGACTTCACTTGTTCTAAAATTATATATATTGTATATATAAAATATATATATATAAAAAAAAAGAATCTAGGACTTGGTGAGTTTGCATATGATTGCCTAAAGTGCAACATATATATTGTATTGAATACTTTTATAAAAATATATATATATAAAAAAAAAGAATCTATGGCTTTGTGAGTTTGCATATGATTGCCTAAAGCTGCAACATATATACTGTATTGAATAATTAACTTCAACTCTTCACTAAAGCTGCAACATATATATTGTATTGTATTGAATAATTAACTTCAACAATTCAAGGTAAATATGACATGAGATGATAATAAATCTACAATTGTTAAGGACTGATAAGTGTGGTAGGGTACAATTGGAATTACTTACAAGTATTATATTCCTTAAGTGTAGTGTTTCAAAGTTTCTCATTCTTTCCTTAGCTAGCTTATTATATTGGTTGTTACCTTTAACCTTTTTGAACTGATATATTATACCATACTCTTCCGCAATAACCAACTTTTGAGATACTATATATAGAATGCGCCTACAAGTATGTATGTATTCATTAAACCCATTGAAATAATTTGTTTTACTATCAGCTTTTTAATTATTATTATTTTTTTGTTTAAAAAAAAAACACACATATTTTGAAATGAAAACAATATTGAAATAACCCATCAAACACATGCTACAACCCTATATGAAGCCGCACTTGAGAATAGCATCCCTGCCTTGAATGAGTTGCTAAGAAAAGATCGATTTATTCTCGATCGATGCATAATTGAAAAATCATGTATCGCCATGCAGTCTCCATTACATGTTGCTGTAAAAATGGGGCACTTAAAATTCGTAGAAAAAATTCTAAGTGTAAAGCCGGAAATGGCTGAGGTGGTTGATCAAATAAAAAGATCAACACCGCTACATATTGCTGCTGCAAGAAAGGAAAGGGCAGGACTAGCAGAGGCAGCCGGGCAAGATCATATTGCTGCTGCAGGGAAGGAAAGGGAGGGACTAGCAAAGGCAGCCGCGCAAGATCATATTGCTGCTGCAGCCGCAGGGAAGGAAAGGGCGGGACTAGCAAAGGCAGCCGTGCAAGATAATGAAAAGATCATCGAAATCTTGCTCGAAGTGGCACCAAACATGTGTTTCGTGCACGATCAAGATGGAATGACGCCCCTTCATGTCGCGGCTGTAAATGGTAATACCGAAGTGCTTAAACAGCTTCTCAAAAAGAAGCGTCAGGCTGCTTTGGAACGGACTACGAAAGGTGAGACTATTTTACATTTGTGCGTGAAAAATTGTCAGGTAGACACCTTGGAAGCATTGGTTAAGGATACATATGATCTTGAGTTACTTAACTCCGGAGATAATGATGGCAACACAGTCTTGCACCTTGCTGTGGCTTACAAAGAATTTAAGGTACCATAAGATTTTTAACCATTCAATTCTCTTTGGACTTTTACGTATTATTGTTTATTTTATTAAGTTAATAATACTATCATGAATATAATCAGTTCACAAGTGAAAATTTTAAGGTACAGGCGACTGTACCATGCTTGGTACAGACAAAAACGTGGAATGAACATGTATATGTTTTGTAAAGAACATACAACTGTTTTATAAAGAACATATAGCTGTTTTGTAAAGAACATCCAGTTTTATGTTTTTTTTTTAAATTTAAAGAACATTTGTAATATTAATAAAGAACATGATAATATTATGTAATGAAAATTATTTATATATATCCACTATAATTTGGAGACAAAATTTAAATAACATTTAACAATAAGCAATGAGCATTATGTCACAAATAAAAGCACATTATACAGATATTCAAAGAACATGAACATATGTTCTTTTCACTTTTTTTTGGTGTAAATATGTTCATTTCACTAAAGGGTATATGTTCATTACATTTTAATAGTATGTTCTTTTCATTATAGTTATATGTTCTTCACTTTTCTATATTATGTTCTTTCATGCAAAATGGATGTACAATGCAGCGTATCGGCGACTGCAAGAACTATTGATTGGTTCACAAGTCCATCCGTGATCTGTCCATCCTTGACCTTTATTATCAAACTGGTTTTACTATTTCGTTTTATTTAACAGGCAAATAAAATTGGTCTCAATAGTACACTGAACTATATCTTGAGTTCCTTGACCCTTGAACTTTCACGACTAGTAGCTTGCACACCCTATCTATAGATTCAAAGATTGAGGTGCAACACGTGCCAATAATGGTTTTAATTACTACCTCCGGTTCAAGTATATGCAACTTTGGTGTATTATTTGTGAGATATAAAATAATCCAAAATTGCATATAATACGAACCGGAATTAGTACAAAAAAAACGCATGTCTCAATTATTAGAGTGTCTAAAAGTACCCATAAGCATGCTACAAAAAGTGGGACTCAGGATTTGGGTCATCTTCTATAAATCTATAACTTATTAGCAGATATTGTTAGACATTGTTAATATAAATTTTCAAATATTGATATAACATTGAGTTAACCCTTGCATATTTGCCTTCCTTGGCTTCTCTTAAATTTGTATTTGGTGACGATGCAGATGTTAAAGTTTTTACTAGATCAAGGTGATGACAAGATAGATAAAAATGCTTTGAACAAGAAAAACAGGACGATGAAGGATATTTTTCATCTTACAGAAAGTGCGAAGGATTCTAGAGATAAGAAAACATTAACATAATCTTTGTGTACAATATTCGGAAGGAAGAGGGAGGAAGTTGAAGCAGATAAATCGAAAGATGAATCTAAAGAAGAAGATAAAAAACTAAGAGAAGCTGATGAAAACATTCACAACTTACTTAGAGAGAAGCATGCATTACGTTCTAAAAAGGTGTTGAAGCGCACCGAAGACGAAAAATGGTTGGAGGAGCAGAACACAGCTCTAATGGTTGTTGCATCTTGTATCGCGACCTTGTCGTTCCAAGACGGAATTAATCCACCCGGAAGCGTTTGGACGGATAATGAAAAAGGTCATGTGGCAGGTACGTCCATAATGTCATATGATACCGATAAAGATTCATACAATCTAGTACAAGTTAGCAACACAATGTGTTCATTTTGAGGGTTACTTTGTGGATTGCTGTGACTGCGAGTGCAGTTACTTACTTTTACACGATAGGGTACATTACTAATGAGCTTGGGGACAAAGCGGCCTTAGTCGATGCTATGGAATATTCCGTCGAGGTCTGGCTATGGCTCATGATGGTCATACTCTTTGGACATGGTTTGCGCTTCATATGGAATATTATGGGTCATAAAAAGAGGAAAAATATTAAACAAACTTTGAAAACTGATCAGTGGAGTCGGTATTGTTGATCATCACTTATGATATTAAATACTCTGCTTAATTATTAATCATCGCATTAACAATAAAATGTACCATCCTGTGTGTTTTAATTAACAATAAAATATTAAAGAAACTTTGAAAACTGATCAGTGGAGTACGGATCAGCGTATGTACGAATCGGTGTGTCTGTCTGCGTAATAGATCTTGTACAAATGATATTGTTGTGCGACAGCGGAAGCAAAGGTCGAAAACAAACAAGAAAACAATAAAGAAATTCAATGCAAACAATAAGAACAACACCAAGAATTTACGTGGTTCACTATCGATGTGATAGCTACGTCCACGGGCACCGAGATCGAATGATTTCACTATAAACTGCAAAGATTACAAAGATGATTCTTGTATTTCTCAAGAACGGCTCTCACTCTGTCTCTCTTGACCCTAATACTGATATTAGGGAGGTTTTATATTAATCCCTAATTAAAAGATACTTGGGCAAAAAGATAATAAAATAAGATAACCTAAAACCGCAAAATCCGCGTTCCGTATTTTTCCTTCACCGCCCGGTCAGACCGGGCAAGGTCTGCCCGATCGGGCGCGAGAAGAAAACTCCATACGAATGCTTCAACGTATCCAACCCCCACCGCCCGGTCAAACCGGGCAAGGTCTGCCCGATCGGGCGAAGGCTCGCCCGGTCGGGCGAAGGCTCGCCCGGTCGGGCGCGAGAGCAGCTTCTTCAACGAATTTGCCAGGCACCTCTTCTTCTTCCGCCCGGTCAGACCGGGCAATGTCCGCCCGATCGGGCGGACAAAGCTACGAAGTACGAGTCACCTAATATACTTATCAACAATCTCCACCTTGACGAGAACTCGTAGTCAGCAAACGACCCCATCAAGACATAGTGAAAAAACATCTCAAGCCAAACCCGATGCAGGACTCATGCATAAGCCATACATCCCGATAAGTCTTCAACCAAGACCCATCACATACTCGTCTCCAAGTATAACAACTCATAATGCTCCACCTGCATCACAAGCCCCGGGCAAGCTCCACCTTAAGGCCAACACACCTACACCAGGAGCTCCCCAACTTCGCCCCTCAGGGCCTACTACATCACGTAGTAATCAATATTTAGCAAGTCTAAGCAATGTTTAAACTTGCTAAACGGAACAGGCTTAGTGAAGAAATCAGCCGGGTTGTCAGCAGTCCCAATCTTCTTCACCTTAATCCTCTTGTCAGTACGTAAGAAATGATACCTGACATCAATGTGCTTCGTCCGATCATGGTGTACTTGATCTTTAGCTAAGCAAATCGCACTTAGACTATCACAATACACTGTAGCAAAATCCTGTGCAATACCCAGTTCACCTACTAGGCCTTTGAGCCAAATAGACTCCTTAGCTGCAGAAGTTAGAGCCATATACTCAGCTTCAGTAGTTGACAACGTAACTGATGACTGCAATGTAGACTTCCAACTAACCACAGAACCACCCAAAGTGAACACATAACCAGTCACAGACCTCCTGGTATCCACATCAGCTGCATAATCAGAATCACTGTACCCAGTGACCAAGCATTCCTTACCATTCCCGTACACAAGACCAATATCAGCTGTCCCTCTCAGGTAGCGAAAAATCCTTTTCACCCCTTGCCAGTGTTCCCTCCCAGGTCGAGCCATAAACCTGCTTACAACACTAACAGCATGCGCAATATCCGGCCTAGTACAGACCATAGCATACATCAAACAACCAACCGCGTTTGCATATGGAACTCTAGACATATAAGACAACTCCTCCTCTGATTGAGGTGACATAGACAAAGACAACTTACAACTAACAGTAGTTGGCGTACTTATAGGCTTCGATTTTTCCATCCCAAAACGAGACAAAATCTTTTCAATGTAGCTTTTCTGAGTCAAGAAAAGCTTACCTCTAGCCCGATCCCTGTAGATCTCCATACCCAAAATCTTCCTAGCTGCACCCAAGTCTTTCATGTCAAACTCCGAGTTAAGCATCTCCTTTAATCTAGCAATATCAGATTTATTCTTTGTGGCAACCAACATGTCATCAACATATAACAAAAGATAAATCATGGAACCATTATCCAGCTTACTATGATACACACAGCAATCATATGAATTCCTGTCAAAACCTTGTGAAACCATAAAAGAATCAAACCTTTTGTACCACTGTCGGGGGGATTGCTTAAGTCCATACAATGACTTTAGCAATCTGCAGGCATAGTGTTCCTTTCCAGGAACTTCGAATCCTTCGGGCTGCTTCATCAGAATCTCCTCCTCCAAATCGCCATGAAGGAAAGCCGTTTTAACATCCAACTGCTCCAGCTCAAGATCAAAATGTGCTACAATTGACAATAACACACGGATAGAAGTATGTCGAACCACAGGTGAGAATATCTCAACAAAATCAACCCCTTCTACCTGACTGAACCCCTTAGCAACTAGCCTAGCCTTAAAACGTATTTGCTCAGTTTCCGACAACCCTTCTTTCTTCTTGTAAATCCATTTACAACCCACAAGCTTCCTCCCTTCCGGTACCTTTACCAGTTCCCACACTCTGTTCTTGTAAAGGGACTGCATCTCTTCACCCATTGCGGCAAGCCATTGCGCAGACTCACTACAACTAATTGCTTGTTTATATGTGGCAGGTTCAAATGACTCTACATCATCAGCTACACTCAATGCATAACCTGTCATCGCATCAACACAGCAATTTCTTCCCTCCATCTCTTCAATCAATCTAACAGGCTTCTTGATAACTCGTTTAGGCATCTCAAGAATGGTGTCAGGTTGACTAGATGACCCCTGATTAGATTGCTCCACCTCATCCCCAGAGTTAGAATGAGTAGGAGTAATCTCAGGTTCAGGAGTACCCGGCACTGGAACATCAGCATCATCATCAATATATTGTACCCGAGGTAAATCAGCAATGGTAGACTGATGTACCTCAAGTACCCCATCTGTCTGTAATAAATTGTCTCCTTCCCTTCTCAAATCTGAAATCTCTGCATTTTTAATTGAATACATGGTGTTTTCATCGAAAGTAACATCCCTACTAAGAATGACCCGACCCTCCGAAGGTGAAAAAATTCTAAACCCCTTCACACCATCCCCGTACCCAACAAAACACCCCTTCTTGGCTCGTGGATCCAGCTTACCCTCAATAACATGATAATAAGCAACACAACCAAAAATCTTCAAATTCGAAAAATTAGGCAACTTACCACTCCAGATCTCAAACGGAATTTTGGAATCAATTCCAGAATGAGGACCCCTATTAATGACATAACAAGCTGTTAACACAGCTTCACTCCAGTACCTCCTCCCAAGCCCTGCATTAGAGAGCATGCATCGAACTCTCTCTAGCAGTGTCTGATTAACCCGTTCTGCTACACCGTTCTGCTGTGGTGTCTTCCTGACAGTATGATGCCGACCTATACCCTCATCTGCACAGAACTGATTAAACTCGTCTTTGCAAAACTCTAGCCCATTGTCCGTTCGTAGCTTCTTGATCTTCCTTCCTTGTCGATTTTCCACCAAAGCTTTCCATTGCTTGAAAACTTTGAAGGCCTCATCCTTTGACTTAAGCAACCTAAGCCATGTGTATCGGGACTTGTCATCAACAAATGACACAAAATAGTGGTAACCTCCCATACCTTCAACTCTAGATGGACCCCAGCAATCTGAATGGATGTAATCGAGCACTGCATCAGTAATGTGAGCACCCTTGCTGAACTTTGACCTGTGTTTCTTACCAAACACACAATGCTCACAAAATTCAAGGTTGGCAACCTTGACCCCGGATAGAAGACCCCTCTTGGACAATAGCTGCATCCCCTTCTCCCCCATATGACCAAGCCTCATGTGCCAAATCTTAGTCATCTCCTGGTGAGATACAGATGCGCAAACCGCAGAACTAGGCAGTGTAACACCCTCAAAAACATAGAGGGTGTTCCTTTTGATACCCTTAAGTACCAACTCAGAACCTCTGAAAATACACAACTCCCCATCTGAAAACACACCATTGTACCCCAAGTCATCCAGGGTACCCAATGAAATCAGATTCTTTCCTAAAGCAGGAACATGCCGTACATTAGTCAAAGTTAACCTCCGCCCATCAACAGTCCTCAACCTCATGGAACCAATACCTGTGACCTTACATGGAGCATTGTTACCGACTATAACCATACCCCCATTGCGAGGTTCATATGTATCAAACCAATCTCGACGTGGACACATATGGAACGAACACCCCGAATCTAGAACCCAGTTATCAGATAAATCATCAGACCTAGCAGAACTGACTAATGCTAAATCTTCCTCTGAATTATAGCTCTCATTCGGTTTCTCTTCAACTACAGCAGCCTGGGACTTGTTTTTCCTCACCGGACAATTATTCCTAAAGTGACCCGGTTCTTTACAGTAATAACATGTTTTAGTAGTAGTTTTACTAGATCCATCCTTGCCGTTTCCAGCACCCGACCCAGCATTGTTCCCCTTGTTAAACCCCTTATTCTTTTTAGACTTTCCGGACTTAACAAACAACCCACTACCATTATCCCCATTATCACTCGTAGCTTTCATTCTGAGTTCCCTAGTATGAAGTGCTGCCTTCACTTCTTCTAAGGTTATAGAATCCTTACCAACAACAAAAGACTCTACAAAATTCTCAAAGCTAGACGGTAGAGATACAAGTAAAATCAACGCAGCATCCTCATCATCAATTTTAACATCTAAATTACGTAAATCAAGCAAAATAGAGTTAAGTTTTTCTAGATGTTCCCGTAAGGAAGTACCTGACTGCATCCGGAGGCTAAACAACCGCTGTTTCAGTAATAATTTGTTGGTCAACGACTTAGTCATATACAATGACTCCAGCTTCAGCCACAATCCAGCCGCCGTTTCCTGATCAGCAACCTCCGTGATGATTTGATCATCAAGACTAAGTAATATGGTAGAGTGTGCCTTCTCTTCCATAACTTCTAACTGCGAGTCAGTCGGTCCGTCTCCTGACTCCGAAGTAGTACTCTTTGGAGCCAACGGACGCCATATCTGCTGTTGTTTTAACAGAGCCTTCATCTTAATTTGCCATAGCCCGAAACTATTTTTCCCGGTAAACTTCTCAATTCTTATTGTTGAATCTCCTGCCATTGTTATCTTCAAGAAACTCTCCAAGGATTGAACC